GGGCTAGATTCGAACTCGCCACCTTAGGTGTATGTGGCTGGTGCCTCAGCCACTTGAGCCACAGGCGCCGAGCCAGTATCTTCTTTAAGTAGGGATTTATAAGTATAAATCTGAAGGGTAATTTTTAAAAAGATTTTAACAAAATCAATTAATGTTTAATTGCAGAACGTGCTCAGCTGTGCACCTTGGGCTGTTCTCCACCCTTTGTACTCAGCATCTCCAGCTTTGTCCCTTGAGTAGCTCTTTTCTTTCTAAATTCAGGGGCAACCAGGAAGATCCCTCTGGAAGCCTCAGTCACTGAGGCAGGAAGATCAAAGTGAGAAAGGCAGAGGGACAGAAGTGTGGCTGCCACAAGGCCACAGCTGAGCATGCAGCAGGCTAACGTAGAAAAGTACAGAATACCTTTCTTTTTCCAAAGTAAAATTAGCTTTATTCCCTCTAATAACAAAAAATGACATATGCACATTATACAAAAAATGTCAAATATATAAAAATCTATAGAAAGCAAAGATCACCCAAATACATTTAGCAAAAACCTCTTGATAAGGCACACACTGGGTTAAAATATTCAAGTTATCAATGACTTAGATTAAGTGCACTATTCTGTAGTCTGCTTTTTCATTCAATTCTACTTCATGGACAAATTTCCATTGCAATAAACACTGATCCAAACAATTTTTAATGACAGTTGCATACAATTTATTTATTTATTTTTGAGACAGAGTCCCACTTTGTCGCCCTTGGTAGAGTGCCGTAGAGTCACAGCTCACAGCAACCTCTAGCTCTTGGGCTTAGGAGATTCTCTTGCCTCAGCCTCCTAAGTAGCTGGGACTATAGGCACCTGCCACAACGCCCGGCTATGTTTTGTTGCAGTTTGGCTGGTGCCCCCTAGTTGCATACAATTTGTTTGACTCATCTTCTCCTGAAGGATATGCAGGCTCTTTCCAATGTTTTAATATCATAAACATCATGGAAAACATCTTTGGGTTCATGTTTACACACTTGTACAAACTGCTGGTAACAGTGTATCATTATTATTTAGGTTTTTGGAGCGTGTGGCAAAGTTGCCTCCTAGAAGGGCTATGCCAATTTTCACTCCTGCCAACAATGAACAAGAATTCCATTCTTGTCCATTGCTTTAATGGTTACCAATCTGGGAAGACAAAATTAATAAAAAAACACACATATTGATTAGCTATTTTCACTTTCAAATAGGGAATACTTTCAGTTTTTAAGTTGCCTTTTAAGGACACATATTTCTTGGACCTGAATGAAATTTTTAGTTTGTTTCCTGCTGCATCAGGGCTGTGACTTAGGCAGGAGTTGGCTTTCTGAGCCTCAGTCCCTTGATGCACAGAGCCTGCTCCGCAGGTGGGCGGATGCAAGGTCAGCAGGTCCACACCTCCCAGAAGCAAGCTTGCTCAAATTCACACTGGTTGGCGAGAATATGTAAAAATTAAGGCTCCCATGAAAAACTCTGCAAATATTCTCTTGCTATTTATGAATGCAGTAGCAATGAGGCAGATGACAAGCCCCTAGATTTGGTAGGCAATATAGATTCTAGAAAAAAAATGCCTTCTGGGAAAACACATGCAAATCAATTCTGCAGACCATCTCTCTCTCTCTCTCTCACACACACACACACATATGCACACGTTTAAAGAACTGGGAACAGGAAGATTGGAGCAGAGCACAACTAACCCCAGTGTGTTGCCTGAATGCTGGTTTATCATTGCCTGAATAGGTCTGGGATTGTTTTCCACCATAGAGCAAATTTATAAGCAACATACACAATGTGTGATTCACATCTTCAAGGTGATCTGAGCTTACCACAAAGAATGTGGAAAGCTCCAGACCCAGGTCCCTTCCCCCTCACCCTACCCTCTAGCCCAGAGGCTGACGTGGCTGTGCAGACCTCCAGGGGTGCTGTGGGCCCCAGTCCTTGGCTGACCTTCTGCAGAGATTCCTTGGAGCTCTTCCCTGTTTCTCTGAAGCTTTTCTTTCCAGGAAGCACCTCGTGCACCCTGATGCACAGTGACCTCATCCTCTCACCCCCATTCCAGCCTTTACTTTTGGTTCTGTCCATGTGTGGTTCAAACAAAAACCATTGAGTTGGAAACTTGAACAGATGCCATTTTTTCCTCATTCAACCATCTGCCCTTTACTTGGCATCCCAGTAGCCAACACAGGGCCTTGGTCACAGCAGGTATTAAAGATATCCGTGATAAACCTCACTTCCTACACTCTCAGACCTCAGGGTGTGAGCATTGTCCTACACTGGCTGACTTGCCATCCATAAATTACACTGCTAGGCAGAGGGGCACAGGTCAGCACAATTCTCAACAAGTCAGTAAAATTCACCATGTCAGAAGTCCTATACCTACGGAAACAATAGAATATTTTCTCTGTATTTTGGGGTTTTGTAAAAAGGTACAAAGGTCCTATGAGGGAGGGACACTAGCACCTTCCTGGAGGCTGCCCTGTCCCTCATAGGACAGAGACTAGGGTCTTCATGAGCTCTGTCTGTGATCAGAGGGAACATTTGCAGGCTTGTTCTCAGTTTCACCAGGTGTCTCAGTCTCCACATCATGAAACTGTAAGAGCCTCCTCACATCACCCATAATAGGATGCAGGATTAATTCCTACCAATTAACATTTTTTAGCCCACTAGAAGGCAAATCTAGTGAACAGGACTGGCTCAGTTGACAGAGGATTTCAGCACTGTGGTGTGTGCTCACTCATCATTAGTTGGGTCACTGCCAGCTAACCTGCCATGTCCTGAAGCCATCCAAGGGTCATACCCTAGGAAGGTGGCCTGGTCCATGAGGTCACTGGTCCACAAAGTCTCTGGAGCTCCTCTGTGCTAACCAATATCCTTGGCAACATCTGTTTTCAATAAACACACAGCCCAGGAGGAAAGATAGGGTCTCCTGCACACAGCAGCCTCAGAACACCCTCAGGTGGTGGTTCTGAGGGGGAGCTCACAGCAGCAGCAGTGCCTGGGAACTTCATAGGCAGTCTCTGTCCACACCTAGATCCACCACATCAGAGGCTGGGTGGGGCCAGCAACCTGTTTTTAAGCCCTGTGGATCACTCTGTGCACACCATAGGGGAGGAGCTCTGCTCCCAGCCAGCTGAGCATGTCTCACCCATGACACCAGCATCACCTGGTGTGGTGACCGTGGGCCTGGTGCGACTCAGGGTCCCTCCATGACCCCTCTGAAGGGCCTGCTTATAGAGAAAAAGTTTTACATAGTCAGTTCCTATGCTCTCCCTTTTGAATTATTAGTGGAAACTTGTCAAGATGCCTGGAGAATTTTCCCCAGTTCAGCTGATACACTGTCAGGTCACATCTCTAAAACGAGCTCAGTCAGCCTCAGAGCAGCTGGCACTGAACACCCAAGGCCTGCTGCTCCTCCATTCCACGTGACCAAGAGCTGCCAGACTAGGGCAGCTCACAGGATGGCATCTCATCTAGCCCTTTCCCTACCAGTCTAAACACATGGGCCATGAGGAAGCCTTGTGAGCACATGTGTAACCACAAATGTGACAATCAAGCAGGGACGGCAGCTCTGGTGCCCATGGGCCTGCGGTCTCCTGGCCATGTACATCGGGTGGCCTGAAGTCTGTCCATCAGATCAACCTCATTGCAGGGCTTTTCCTGGAGAATTTTAACTCCACATTTCTGACCTTGGCATGTCCTCTGACGCTGTCTGATTCCTGAGGACTTCCTGCTCTACTAGCCTGGACTTGATTCTGACTGTGATTAGCCCGACCATACTTACTCACCCAGAAAATTAAAAAATGAATAAATAAAAGGTCTGGGCCTGTGCCTGGTGCACTGAAACCTGCCTGGAGACCTGAGGGAAATGATCTCCTTCCAGGCTTCCGTTTCTCCTGACAGACTCACTTTCTCCCCTCTATTGTACTCAGCAGTGCTTATTACAGCTGAAGTTCTGGTTATATGTGTTCATGGAGATAATTTAACTCAACTCAGTTTATAAGGAAACACTTGCTCTGTGTAGGCTGCCAGGGACCGTGACAAAGTGAGTAATGGCCCAGGTCCTTACCCCAGAAACCTGTGAGGACTTTCCATGAGACAAGGGACTCTGTAGGTTTAACTAAATTAAAGACTTTAAGATGCAGAAATTTTCCTGGATTGTCTGAGTGATGACAAGGGTCTTTATAAGAGAGAGGCAGGAGGGCCAGAGTAAGAGGAGGGAGGGAGAGACAGGGAGAGAGATTGCAATAGGCTACTCTGCCAGAAAAGGCAAGAAATTCTCCCCAAGAGCCTCCAGAAGTGCCGAGGACCTCTGACCGCCAAAACTGTAAAATAATTCATTTATGTGTAGCTTTAAGCCACCACATTTGTGATAATCTGTTCTGGCAACAATAGAAAACATAGGAGTTTATAATCTGCCAAACAGACAAGGATGATACAACCGACTTTGATTTAACTCAGAAAGTGAAAGTACAAAATATAACGCATTGCTGAGGAAACGCTGGGTAAAGCGAGTACTTTCGGCTGCAAAGATGAGGGAGGCTTCCTGGAGGATGAGCCCTGGTGACTGGGCTTTCAAAAGGGGAAGATGCAGGAGACGCAGGAGACAGGGACAGAGCCGGGAGGGACAGAACGGGCACAATGCCGAACCAGGCCCTGTGACCAGCAGGATTCTCAAAAGCAAAAACCACTTGACCAAAAGTTCATACACTCTATTCAGGATATAAAAGATCTTTAAGTCTGTTTAAAAACAAATAAACAAACAAACAAACAAAAAAAAAAACAAAGAACACCAAAAACCTCTGTAATATCAACAACTACATTATAGGGAGCATACGTGATAAACTGTCCTGAGAATTTTAACAGAAATGCAGATCTACACAGAGTAGGCTGTGGCCAGGGCGAACCTGGCCTGTTTTCAGACACGCAGGCTGGACAGGGGTGAACAGAAGAGCAGAAAAACATGGTTCTTTAAAAGGTTTCCATTAACGTTTACAATTAGATACGTCCTACATCCCTGAAAGCAAGCTAAAGGAAACAGTGGGATCCAATGGGATGTTCTCAGCAGAAGAGACTCATGCTGGAGACTGACCCAGGCCCGTGTGGAGGAGACTCACGCTGGAGATGCCAGAGAGACTGACCCAGGCCCGTGTGGAGACTCACGCTGGAGATGCCAGGGAGACAGACCCAGGCCCGTGTGGAGGAGACTCACGCTGGAGATGCCGGGGAGACTGACCCAGGCCCATGTGGAGGAGACTCACGCTGGAGATGCCGGGGAGAGTGACCCAGGCCCGTGTGGAGGAGACTCACGCTGGAGATGCCGGGGAGACTGACCCAGGCCCGTGTGGAGGAGACTCACGCTGGAGATGCCGGGGAGACTGACCCAGGCCTGTGTGGCAGGTTTGGTGTTTTTATTCGGTTAAGTCAGACCTGTGATCATGAGTAATTCTGAAGCTCTAGTTCAGCCTGGGTTTGATCATGAGGCCATTATTCTGATGAAAAAACTTTTTGGGGACAGAGTCTCGCTCTGTCACCCTGGGTACAGTGCCGAGGTGTCACCACAGCTCACAGCAACCTCAAGCTCCTGGCCTCAAGTGATCCTCTTGCCTCAGCCTCCCAGTGTGCTGGGATTTCAAGTGTCAGCCATCAGTCCTGGCCCCAATTAAATAAACTTCGAAGCCCCTTTGGTGGGGCTGGGAAGTACAGAATGGTCTCCATCACTGCTCTGCACCTTCCATGCTCTCCACTGACCGTTCTCTAGGCACCACTTAGGAGAGAAGTGCACCCAAGGCCACCCCACACGCAGGGGCCTCAGCAACTGTCACTTCTGTCACCTTCTGGGACCTTTATTCGTTTTTGTGCTGCTCATATTCATTCCAAGAGAAGGCGGAGGAGCAGGTGGTCTCCACTGGCCTGTTCCTGTGAGAAAGGCCCGGTGCTTCTGAGGAAGGGCCTACAGCCACCACGCAGGCCCCGATGCCCTGTGATGGAACCACGTGCTTTGGGAACCAGCTGTCCTCCCCAGGCGAGCCGGGCTCACAGCTGGGCTCTGCGGCTGCTGGGCCTCCCACCTTCCCACCTGAGCCCAGAAATGTGACCTCAGACTGACTGCATTCAAAAGGTGTCTTCTGAGTCCTTCTGTCCTTCCTCGAAGCTTTGTCCTGAGGCAGTGAGCGGTTACTATGGTTTTCATCATCTTCCACTGGAATACTCGGCACATCCTCCAGAAACAGAGGAGAAGGGCAGCGGAAGGACTTCAGGGATGTGGGGGGGTCTTCGGCAAAGTACAGGCCGGCCTGGGCACTCTCCAGAGTGTTCAAGACCTAATTATCAAAGAAGCAAGCATGGGGTGAGCACGAGTGGCCTCTCTTTCTCCTTCTTCTTCTCTATTAAAGAATGTATATATAATATATTTGAAACAGAGTCTCGCTGTGGTGTCACAGCTCACAGCAACCTCAAACTCTTGGGCTTAAGCGATTCTCTTGACTCAGCCTTCCAAGTAGCTGGGACTCTAGGCACCTGCCACAATGCCAGGCTATTTTTAGAGACAGGGTCTCACTCTGGCTCAGGCTGATCTTGAACCTGTGAGCTCAGGCAATCCATTCTCCTTGGCCTCCTAGAGTGTAGAGATTACAGGCGTGAGCCACTGAGCCTGCACTAAAGAACATTCTTTCACTTTCATAAAAGTGAAGTTCAACTGCAGAATTTGAGTTAGAAGAGATCTTAAAGATTAACTAAATCCCTTTATTTTAAGGGGTAAATTAAATGAACTGAAATAAGGCATGAAAGAAAACTGTGCTGAGTTAAAGGCCCAGAGACCAGGCTTCAGCCTCAGACACGGGCTGACCAGCTGTGACCTCAGGCAGGCTCTTTACTACGACCACGTGTGGGGACTGGACGGGAAAGGTGGGTGCTAGTCATGCCAGAATTACCAGGGGAGCTTTCTGAAAGTATAGACCGCTTGGCCCCAACATGAAGATTATCACTCAAAAAATGAGACAGGAGAGCAGGAACCTGCATTTGGAGGCTTCCCGCGTGGTATGGTGTGCGGCCTGGTGGGGAACCCTTTACCTGATAGGACACGGAGCACACGGCTTCACATGCACAGTTTATGGAATACACACAGAGAGCTTTACAATGGGCAAAGCACTTTCCTATATCTTATTAATCCTGCAAAAACAACACTTTTATTCTCATTCTATAGCTAATAAGGCTGAGGTTTAAAGAAAGGAACCAGTATCACTAGCCAGGAAGGCAGACACCTGTTGTTTGCTGTGGGATCTCACAGCTCCTGGCCCACTGACTGGACGGTATAAGCTGTGGCTCAGTCCTGGCCGGGGCTCCACCCAGCTCCTGCTAGTGGCATCAGGCCTAGACATAGCTCTCCTGACTCCCAGGCCAGTGCTCTCCACATTCTGATTACATCAATTCTTTTTAATCCTCGAGGCCCTTGGCTCTACGATAGACCCAGGATAAAATACAAACTTCATTATTATTATTCTAAATTTCTTTCTGTTGGCTGGGCGTGGTGGCTCACACCTGTAATCTTAGCACTCAGGGAGGCTGAGGCAGGTGGACTGCCTGAGTTCACAGGTTCAAGACCAGCCTAAGCAAGAGTGAGACCCTGTCTCTACTGAAAATTAGAAAAACTGAGGCAAGAGGATTGCTTGAGCCCAAGAGATGGAGGTTGCTGTGAGTTATGACTCTATGGCATTCTATCCAGGGTCACAGAGTGAGACTCTGTCTCAAAAAAACAAAAACAAATTTCCTTTTGTAGAGATGTCTTGCTATATTGCCCATGCTGGTCTCAAACTCATGGCCTCAGGTAATCCTCCAGCCTCGCCCTCCCAGAGTGGTGAGATTATAGGTGGGAGCCACGTTGCCTGGCTGTGCATCTGTTTTTTTTTTTTTTTTTTTTGAGACAGAGCCTCAAGCTGTCCCCCTGGGTAGAGTGCCCTGGCATTACAGCTCACAGCAACCTCCAACTCCTGGGCTCAAGCGAGTCTCCTGCCTCCGCCTCCCAAGTAGCTGGGACCACAGGCGCCCGCCACAACGCCCGGCTATTTTTTGGTTGCAGCCGTCATTGTTGTTTGGCGGGTCCGGGCTGGGGATTCGAACCCGCCACCTTAGGTGTACGTGGCTGGCGCCTTAGCCGGTTGAGCTATAGGCGCCGAGCCTGCATCTGTTATTTTAACCCCACCCAGTCTTCCCCTCGCCACCTGCACCACCTCCATGATGGGAACCACCGTGGGCTTAGTGCCTCGGGCACCGTCACCCAGGCCTTTGAAGCGTTGATTCCCTCTGCCTAGAATGTCTTTCTATCCTTACTGCTACCTGGACGCGACCTGTTTTTCATACCACAGCTAAGCTGCACCTCTCCCTAGAAGCTTGCTGACCCCACAGGCTGGTGTGATTCTGACTCCATGCTCGCACAAGGACCGAGGCTTCTGTCCATCATGGACCTTTGCCTGGGGACCAGGGTGCACATTACTGATCTGATGCCTCTGTTGAGCTGACGTTGGCCACTGTGTCTTGGTCACTGTTGTAACCCAGCACCTAACACAGACTCTGGCACATACAGAGCCAGCACTAAATAAGCATTTGTTTACTCACACAAATAATTGAGAAGATGATTAAATCTATAGAGATGAATGAATCTAAGAATGAGGGAGGGAAATGCATGTGCATTTTAATAGGCCCATCTCTTAACAAAGACTAAGCTATTCCCTCCACACTGCACACAAGTCTCTTCCCTGACTTTGTGGAGGCATGGCTCCACACAGTGACCCTGGCAGGGAAGCAAATGACGGAATTTTTGGTTGTGAAACTGTCAGATGGCATTCTCTGATGGAGGCTGGGTCTGTCTCACCCTGATACAGTGACCCCAAGTGCCCCAGGTTCCACATGCTGTGGAAACCTCATGGATACGCACCTCATCCATTGACGGCCTGGACTTGGCCCTTGCCGCAGCACACTGGCCCGCCAGACAGAACAGCTTGGCAGAGAAATTCCGAGGACAGGGAGGTACCTTCTTATCCAGAAATGAGAGACATGCCTGGAGGCCTCTCTTCTCCATCAGCTGCATGAGAAGATCCCGCTAGGAAGAGGAGGACAAGATGGCCTCAGCGCCCAGGACTCGACCAGGAAAATGGCCGAGGGGCCTGGGCTGAGTGAAGGCAGCTCTCACCAGCTGGATGTGTTTGGGTTCGTCTAACACCACTCGGCATCCTGTTAGAACTTCCATTATTACCTATAAGAACGTGCAGAAAGTCGGCTGTTTAGACACACAGGCACACCTTGCTGCAGCTATTAACCGTGAGTGTATGCTCATAGTTCCTTCCAGTTAAGGATTTTATATTTTATTACTTGCTTGACTACATGAAATTAACGTATACGACAGGTAACAGAATCAAAAAGTTTAACAACTTAAGCCCTTGAAAAACTCCTTTTAGAATTCAGAGCATTCTTGACAACAGACTGTCGTCCCTTGCTAGCTGGCGGTAGGCACTCACGATCCCAAAGCTGTAGACATCTGTCTTGATGGAAAGTCTCCCTCGTCTGATACACTCTTCAGGGAGGTACCACAGATGTCTGCTGCTGCTGTTGGCCATGCTCATGGTCGAATTCTGATGTTCCAGCTGGGGTCGGAAGTGTGCCGTGGCAAAGTCGGTTAATTTGGCTTGAAACTGATCATCCAGAAGTATGTTTGCACTAAAATTGCAATCAAGAACAAACCAGACAAAACATCTCAAAAGCACCCTGAAAGCTTTTTTCAAGATATGTAAAAATGGTTCAAAAAGCAGCAGCTGTTTACATTCAGTCTTCCCTGAGCTATTTATGTACTAGGGACAGGTTTAAGGCAAAGGGCAAACAGAAAAAAATTCACCAGAGGGGTTTGCTCTCATGCATCTGTGCTGTCTCAATGATTCTTTGTGTCTATGGAGGAGTAAGGAACATAGAAGATGTCACTTCTAATTCTCTCATCTCTCAGAAATGAGCACTAGGGCCACGGCTTGGGCTATCTCGGGTCGATACGCAAAGCAGCCTCTGTAGAACACGAGAGCTCCTGGTGTCTCAGGACACAGAACACTGCTCACTATCTGCTATGCTGTCCTGAGGGAGGTCTCGTGTAAGTCACATAACCTTGAACTTCAGTTAAAAAACTGAGAAAAATACAAGTTCATGTCACAATGTGCTGGCAGGTGCGATTAACAAAATACCGCTGCTCCTCAAAATATACTGAGAATAGATCCTGATAAACTCATCAAAAATTGAAAATATCAAGTTGAAAATACATTTAATGTGCCTAAGCCACCAACACCCTAGCTCAGGCTTGCTGACCTAAACATGCTCAGGACAAGTTACCTGCATTAACTCACACTCGTGCAAAACCCCAGCCTCCACAAAGTCAGTTCTACAACAGTGTTGACTAGCCCATGGAACGTGTCACGTACTCCACTGCAAGTGGAAACACAAGAGCTGTGTGGGTAGGAAGTGTGTCTCACTTTCTGTCATTGTAAGGTCAAAAAGGTGTTAAGTCAGATGGCTGTAGATGGGCGTGTCTGCCCAGAGCCATGGGTCCTGCATGGCTCACTAGCAATTCCTAAAGATAATGTAAACTCTCCCTTTGCCAACATAAATACAGCCTTTTTAATTTGGCAGACGCATTTTCATTAGCAAAAATGTACGATTTTAAAAACAGATGTGTTTTTAAGCACACATGTGTATACCAGGAGAGCTGCAGCAGAAAGCAGAGTGAGGGGGACCCTGTGACGATGGGGCTCCGGGCCACTCACCTGGAGATGCTGCCGCAGACGACCGCCGGCTGGGCGCTGTGCAAATAGTGAATGGCTCTGGACGCGCCTAATAATATGCTGGTTCGAAGGGGCCAAGACAGCGGGGCTGTGTTATCCTAAAAAGACAACAGCTGGGGTTTTGTTGCATGTTCTGAGTGAAGTATGCTGGATAGAAACACACGGTAAAGGCTCAGCGCCTGTGGCTCAAGCGGCTAAGGCGCCAGCCACGTACACCTAAGGTGGCGGGTTCGAATCCCCAGCCCGGACC